GTCAAGGCATCAACAATACGCAAACGCCAACACTCATACCGTTGGAGAACTCCTTGCGTAGCACACAACCGGCCACCGGCAAGTGTCAACACTGTGAGAGTATGGTCAAGCATTTTCTCTACCTTGAAAGCCTCATACGCAACAACTACAACCCGAAGTCGCAGTGTGGTCTTTGCTATTCTTCGCTGAAGTACCTGCAGCTTGTAAACAAGAGCATAATGCAAATATTCGGCAACGTCGAGGAAATCGTCCACACAGCAAAGACCTTCTCTGCCAAGCAGACGCGCCAAACCTTCGCTGGATCACGTCCCATTGCAGCCAAGTCCCCCGCCAAGTCGCCGATGAAGACTAGTAGCAAGAAAAATATTGCAAGGAAGCGATTGAAAGGTGGCAAGGTAAGAGGGTCGGTGCTGCAAAAGTCTGCAAAGACCGTGAGTAAGGTTCGCTTAGCGGGCGGTGGAAAACTGATCACACCAGACAATCGCCACGAAAAGAATAAAACCAAATTGAGCAAAGTAAAGACAGCAGCCAGTACGCCAGTACGCCTACAGTCCACGCTCAAGGGCAGGCGAAAGAAATCGCAGGTCGATGCAAAGATAAGTGGCGTCAAACAAACACATGCGAAATCAAAACGTAACAGAGTAGGCACATTGCGTATTCGTGGTTAATGTGGAAGCAGCTGGATCATAGATAGAAGGATATGTGTGATTGAACTTGATAAGAAAAATTCTTTGTAATGTATGACCTTTTATTTTTCGGCAAACATTTGAATTTTGACGTCGAATTAAATAAATCCAGTAAAAAAACTTATTATTTAGTCATTTTCTATTGACAATTGGCATTCTTAAGGCAAAATCCTTATCATTCCTTAAATCGATGTATGTATGCGGCAGCGGAGTCTGTATAAACTCAGTTTCTGCTGGTGTGACGTAAATTCCAGGCATTGTAAGGGCGCTGTTAGGCAGACGATCATATGATCTCTGGTCACCAATTGTTACTTTCAGTGCACAATGAAAAATTTGAGAGAGACAGAGAGAACTAAACTGCATGACCAGCAGTGGTGCCAACTATTTTCGAGTAAAATATCCATATTTTTATAAAAACCCGCTAGAGAAAGCAACAACAATTGGTGACCAGAG